TCTATCCCGAACGGGAGCTACTATTCTAGAAAGAATGTTTTAATGTAATACTAATGATTAAAAAAAAAAAAAACTATTTTTGTAGTTCGAGAATGTTTTACCGTTTATGCTCCTATTTATTTTCTAGATACTCCAAGAATCTGTTTCGGATCCTAAATAGAATGGAACCACGTTCTCGATTCTTTTCCGGTCAACCACTTAGGATTGACTTCACCCTAACCTCGAAAATTCAATTACAATTATTCTTGAAATTACAACAAATATCATTTATTTATTTATTTTTGTAATATTTAACAAAATAAGAGAGAGAAATTAAATTATAGATTGATAATATGACATGATATTTGACCTACAATATAAATTTTTTAATAAATAAAATTTCCATAATTTTATTTTTAGTTGGCCAAAGTGAATAATTTAAAGATTTTAAAAGGTTCATATCTTATATTAAATAAAGTAGAAGAAAATAAAAATTAGAACAATATGAAGATTCATTGAACGTAATTGCCTCAAAAAATAGAATAAACCAAGTCAACTGGTGAACTCGAGAAAACATTATTGTAACAGCAAATTAATAAAGCACGTGACAAAATGTTATGCTAGCAGATATTATCTATTTTGATCCGTTACGTATCACTCATGTTTTTGAAATGTGTTTACTAGAGAGAAATTTTCATACTTTTATAAGAAATGACATGCGTCGTTCTCCATTCCAACTGATATGAAATCTCACCAATAGTGTCTAGATCTAACTTTTGATTCGGGATTCCACGTGCTCCATGCTACTCGGGTCAGAGCGTAAGCTAGTGATGCTTTTGGCTACTAGACTCTTGCCATCTAGGGTGCAACACTCCATCACTTCGCTTAGCAGCACGACGCTTGTATTGCTCTCCCACAATCCCGTTTTCACGGTTTAGGCTGCTCCCATTTCGCTCACCGCTACTATGAGAATCGCTTTTGCTTTCTTTTCCTCTGGCTACTAAGATGTTTCAGTTCGCCAGGTTGTCTCTTAAGTCCAAAATTTCAAAATTTTAAATCTTTTAAGAAAACTACCCAAAAAAAAAAAAAACATACCGTCCGATGTTTGGCTCTAATAACCCTATAATAGCCCACCTCTAGCAGATATTGCCCGTTTTGGCCTGTTTTGTATGATGTCAGTCTCACCGTTTTAACACATGACTGCTAGAAGAAGTTTCCAAACTCTTTCAAAGAATACTATGCTTCGTTTCTCTTTCCAATCAATGTGAAATCTCACAATCCACCCCCAAGAGACCCGCGTCTTCACTAGCACACCAACCCATATCTAACTTTGAGACCACTGTAATAGTCCAACCCCACCGCTAACAAATATTGCTCGTTTTGTCCCGTTACATATCTCTGTCAGCCTCACGATTTTAAAACACATCTACTAGGGGGACTTTTCCACACCCTTATAAAGGATGCTATGATTCGCTGATCTCTTCAACCAATGTAAGATCTCACAAAATATGTCCCAGATACAAATTTTAACTTTGGTCCAAAATTTTGAATCTTTATTTCAAACTACATATCTCTTAAAACATTTATTAAAAAAAAAAAATAGTAACATAGTAATATTAGAAATATTTTTTAAACAAAAGATAAAATTTATTAACTGCCAATAATCTTTTAAGCAAATTAAGAAAAAAAAAAAAGTTGAACTAAACATAGGTGACAATTATAATCCAAAGAAAAAACATGGAGCAAAGAACCAGCTGCAGGAAACATAATAATATACAGAACAGTACGAGATTCTTCAGAGACAACAAACATGTTTGTGCAACTATTAAGAACTCATTCACTTAACTCTCTAAATTTCCCAAAATGTTGCCTAAATAATTGCTTCCCATGAACATGTTCAAGGGTTAATTAATGGTGAAGTGAAGTTATGAGCTCTGTTTTGAGTCATCCCTTCCATTTTCGCTACTCTGAGAATCTCTGTTTTTCTCTGTTCTTCCTCCCATGTATTTGTTATTATGCATCCAAACTCTGAGCACCCGTTTTCCGATCCCAATTTCATTACAGAATTCCTCCACTAACCTTTCATCACATTTCCCAATTTTCCATCCCATTTTCTCGGAGAAAGATCGCATCTTTTGCTTTTGATCCCTGCTGAATTTGGTCCTGTTTCTCTTCCTCTGTTTTGGGTTGAATCGACCGCCACGCTGCACTTGCGCCGCAGCGCCGGTGCTCAATGCTAGCAACATATGAGGGGAGGACAAGTGAACTGGCGGTGGGATGTGCGAAATTTGTAAAGGGATCGGCGAGGATGGGCTTTGAGGCTTCGGCGACGGCGGTGTGCAGAGGCGATATGATTGGAAACGTCGGTGTGTGGGGAGATTCTGCCAGGAATCGTCCGGTTCACGGCGGTGGAAGTTGCGGTGGCAGCCACAGGCTGCACAATTTAGAGAAGTGGGATCGGAGGGTGTGGCGGTAAGTAAAGGCATAAACTCGCCGCAGCCGTCGAGGGCGTGGCCGCCGACGGTGGCGGCGTGATTCTTGAGACATTCTCTGTAGTAGATGAACATGGGGGGTTGGTTTTGGAGGGTGTTAATTGTGACCATCGGCTGATCTCATTTTATGATGGAGATTATTTGGTTGTTTTGGTCTAAGAGAATGATTAGGAACAAGATTAAGGACGGAAAAAGGGTCTAATTTTGCATTAGAAGAAGATGATTATGATTATGAACAATGAGACGACGTGACGGTGACGACAATAATGATTAAATTTGGGATCAGAATATAACAATTTGAGTGTTTGACCAAGTCACGTTTTAATTTAACAAATAATAAATCAGATTTAAGATGATTTAAACATAATTAAATATAATATTTTTTTTATAAAAAAAAAATGGAGGGTGAGGATGAGAAAGGAAGAGCAAGAAGTTGGGAAATTTGATGACCATTAATTAATGAAAAAAGAAATTTAGGTATTGATTCAAATTGGATATAAATCCTTTGATATTTTGATATTTGATTTGATACGCACCCAACAATTAATCAAATTTATGCGTTGATTATCTTTTTAACTAATATTTTTGAGAAGTGGGGTGGGTAGATATTCGATCATTATGAGATGTACGTGGTTCATATTGGATTAGGTTGAGAGATTGCTTTCGACGATTTCAAAAATTTAAGTTGGTTGGATTGGTAACTTTACCCAATCCGAAAAATTTCACAACCCCCCTCTCTGTATTTGTGTTGGGTTTGAGTAGTGAAACAATGAAGCGCCGAATGGAGGAGGAGCCTGACGAGGAATATAAAGTGGAGAAGTTTGACGAAATTGGAACAGAGTGTCGAGTGAAGAGCCAATTGGCGACGATGTCTGATGAGAAACATAGAGACGAGGTCGAGTGGATAAATGAGAACTGAGAAGAGAATCCAACAAAGAAATAAAGAGTGAGCGACGTTGACATCCAAGGACACACAGAAACGAGGCGAGAGTGGAATGAGAACTGAGAAGTTGAACGACACACAGAAAGTGTCGAGACGAGTCGAACGACGAAGATGAACATAGTGATGTGAGTGTGTGAGACTAGGAGTGCAAGAGGTGAGACTTCATTTCACTTACCCAGTTGTCCTAGAGGTCGAAGACGAACGCTGCGTGAGACTACAAGACAAAGTCTCTAACTCACCGTTAGGACTGCGTGGGCTTGAGCCTATTTTATTTTCTTTTTTTCTTAAGGTTCTCGAGTTGGGTCGGGTTGACCCAATAATTTAAATTTCAAACCTTCCGATTGGGTTCCAAAAAAACAAACCCAATTCAAACCCGAAATCTTTTTAAACTCAACCCAACCCTGATAATTTGAGGATGTACACCTCTAATCATAATCTAAGCACGTTGTCATTTTTTTAACCATATAAGCCGAAGAGAAGGAATAAATCAAAGGGCATAGGATGTCGGATTTAGTGTGATGATGGAAGCCATTAAGAGCATAATTAAGGGGGTGGGGTGGGGTGGGGAGGGATAAAATCAAAGGGAAGAGGTGACAGATTTGTCTCATAATGAAAGATAATGCTGAGTCATTGAAATGACTAATGAGTGATTAAATTAGGAGTGAAGAAAGCAGCACAAAGCTTTGCGGCTTCACCCTTTTTTCACACTTCAATTTTATCTTTGAAAGGACATTATGACAACCAGAGGCCAAGGCGTGCTCTAATTAATGGCCAGGCCGTGGATGTGCCGCAACTAATGCGGTGGACATGCCGGTGCCGCCATAGTTATAGGCCTAGGGGGTTGCGGCACTATGATCCAACATCACCATGCGTCTTCCTTATGGCCATATAATCAAACTTTACCATTTACTTTCCCCTCCACATATCTATTCGTAGTAATGTATGAAATTTGATATTTGATATCTTTTTTAAAAAAATTATATTTGGCGAAAAAATAAAGTTTACTGAGATGAGATCTCATATTAATTAGAGATGAGAACGAAGTATATTTTATAAGAGTAGAAAAACTTCTCCCTAACAAACACGTTTTAAAACTGTGAGACTGATGACAATACATAAGGGATAAAAGTGGACAATATCTACTAGCATTGGGTTTGGACGAGTTAAACTCTTTGATAAAATAAAAGCAAACAATATCAAATACTTGTGTGGACTTGAATGTTACGGAATGATCTGATCTTGACAAAGTTATAGTTATAGGGTATGCTTTGTTGGTTTTGTTTGACTTGGAGTGGAAATGAAACAAATTACGAAGATAAGATGAATCCAATGAATGGGCAAGAGGGGGCATGAATATGAAGGTTATGGTGGAAAAGTGGTAGGATTGGAGTGGAATAGATGGAAGGGATTGATGAAATGGGAATGGGAATGGGAATGGGAGTAGTCAACAGAACAAAGAACGTGGCGGCAGTAAGTACATTTTCTTTAAAGCCAAAGGGACCAAAAATTCATTGGTTTTGGTGATATTATCCTGTCAGAAAGTCATCAACCTAACTCATCCTTACCCCCTTACACCAAGTATTCTCTTTGGTCATAAATGATCATTTCTATTAGTGTAATTCCAGCTAATCAAAGAAAATGCATGGAGGAAAGGAAAGGAAATGAATGCACCATTATGAAGAACAATAAGACAGATACTAAAAATGGCAACAGGTTCATCATGCATCAGCTTTTATTATTATTCCCTTTTGTAATCAAAACAAATGAAATGAACCTCTTCTTTTGGTTGATTGATGACTTGATGTGGATCAGGCGCCATGGATTTCCCCTTTTTTTGTGCATATCCTCCCTGGAAACACCCTTAAGAATGAGCTTATGCTGCTTTTGTTGCATCAATTGGACTTCTTGGATCTGTCTGATGGTGTGTGGCCCTTCTTTTGTGCACCTGCTCTAGAGCAAACAAACAAGAAGAAGCATGACTGATTATGAAGCTATCATTTAATGCATGAATTATGACTGTTGGAACAAATCCCCCCTTGAAAGTTTATCGACCATCGCCTTCTTTTGCCTATTTGACCGCCCATATATATCATTAAATCAGTTTTCTAGGTGACAAAAAGTTTACTCAATACTTGGTTCTTGTTCCGACTCCAACTGCTCTTCTATATGCTGTTCCTTGTTCTTTCAACGAGGGGATCTGGGAAGTCAGAGGCGTCTAGCTTGATATTCAACGCACTGCAAAGAGATCCATGTTGAATGTTTTGATTAAAAGCATAAGATAAGATAGATACAAGACAGACAAACCAAACATATAGGTATTTCTAATATATCAGACTTTTTAGCCATACCCAGTATTTCTGTTTGGAGTCCCCCAACTATGATTAAGTTTTTGTTGCTTAATTACTAAGGGCTATGAGATTGTAAACCAAGAAAAACAATTGTATTCTTGTGAAGAATTACTCGTGGTGTTTGCAGAATGAATGTAGAAGTCAGATTACAAGATATAGACACTGGTTTTAAGGGAGATCTAGATTTGCCCGTTTCGGTGCTAAAACCATTGTGGGGGATAAATGAAGAGGTTATACAATTTGCACCTATGTACGTTAAACAGTGTCCTGGTGGGAAGTCATTTGAGGTCCTCATGAAAGTGCGCATAAAAGCAACTTGTGCTGCACCTAAGACTACGGCCTCCCGTTCCTCAAATTAGACAGAACATAAAGGAAAAGCAAACATTTAGTAAATAAACTTGAAGTTGAATTATTAGTTAACGATAATGTGGGAGGTAATATCCACCAGTCTTCGTTGTCGACGTTGCAAGATGCTGATTGCACAAGCCATAATGTAGCAGGGCAAGAGAAAACCAGCTGCTCGAAGCAAGAAAATCTGAACAGTATGGTAGAAAACAATATGCACAAATTGAGCAATGTTAAAGATCATAGAAAAAGGAAAACCGTCAAAGATTGTTGCCCATTCCAAATTAAAACAATGAACTTGACTTACAGAGAAGAACGCAGACACGTAATCATCGTCTTCAGAATCTGAGACTTCCATTGCATGGCGCAAGAAAAGTAGGATCATGAGCTGCCATATTGAAATCGAGCAAATGATGTTATCCCATGGAATGGAAAACCCTTCAAGAGTGAGGGCAAGCATTAAAACACCTTCAGGAGTGAGGTATTAGCACAATGGTGTATCTGTTAGCTAGTTATTGAGATTGTAGGGTATTATATTGACATCAATTTATGAGAAGATGATAATAATAAGATTTGTGATTATACTACCGAGATTTCTTGCGTGTGATATCAAACAGTAAACTTACAATAAGAGCAGCTGCTCGACAAAATGCTGCTCCACCGGCATCAGAAGCAGCATATTCATCATACTCGACTTCCAATAAATTACGCTCAGTCTCTGCAAAAGCCAAAAGGCGAGGATCGTGTAAACTCAAAGGTGTGCCAGTAATGGTCCACCGTCCCCTGCAGAAGCAAGAACGCAAACAAAGATAGGACATGTTTAGCTCAATATCGAAAATGAAAAAATATCAGAGAGTTTACCATAATTTTTCAACAAAAATATTTCAAAAGATAATCCTGGAACTTTCTAAAGCAAGGAAATTTGAAGCATGTAAGGTACCCAATATCAATAGACGTTTCTTCAATTCGAGGGGGAGGTGGTGGAGCTGTATAATCAGGCTGGTAAGGCTGTACATAAAATGTAAGATTATAAAATCAGATAAGCTGAACCTCTAAAAAACCATAACATTCAAAGTAGTTGAATTGTTCCATATATATGCGTTAACACTCTAATCTTTTAATAGTCAAACTGTTTCTTGACTTCATTTTCAATGGAAATATCATTACATAAGAAATGTTTTCTTTCAGCTTATTCTATCGGGGCTGCTTTCACTGGATTGTGTCATGGCTCATCCGTGATGTATTGAATGAGTACCATGCGTCCACATAACATACCGAATGTGTGTGTGTGTGTGTGTGTGTGTGTGTGTGTGTATACAAAAAAAGAAAAAAAGAAGAAAACATAGAAACCACGCTTTCATTGAAAAATATGAATACAGCAACCTTACAAAGGGTCCCCTCAAAGAAAGGGATTCAAATCCCAAAGAATCAAACGAAGCTGGTAATTACAAAAAATCTAAGTAGGAGCCACAATGAGGCATTAAATCTAACACTGCATATCATCCCATGGCCACTGGGCATTTTAAAAAACAAACACCCCTCACAACAGCAAAGCAACAAGTTTGCCAAAGAATTCTGCCCTTATCCCGAAAAGGGGGCGCAATCGTACCTCCTCTAGTATAATATCGACATCAAATGCATATATGATTCCAAGGACTTGATATAACCAAGTAAAATCAAGAATGTAAACATACCTGATGACAAATCTCACAAATGATATCCCCTTTTTCATTGCACCAATGCTGTATACACTTCCGATGAGCATACTGGGAAAGTAATCGTTGTTAACATCTCATCTAAATCATAATGCAACACAAGCAGTAAATGCCTCATTAGATGGATTTGAGATAACCGAAACAACAGATGTAAATGGCCTTATAGCATACGGTAGTACATTCCTAAGAAAAATATTCCTCAATTATGGCGTTCACTTTCACATATACATATACATTTCTTAATCCCACGACGATGGGAGAGGAGAACGAATGTCAATGAAGACACTAAGTCCGGGAGGGTGTGGATTGTGAGATCCCACATCGATTGTAAGGGAAAACAAAGCATTCTTTATAAGAGTGTAAATATGGGAAGCCCGAATGGGAAAGTCCAAAGAGGGCAATATCTGCTAGCCGTGGGTTTGGGCCGTTACACGGGTAAATTTTCACATCACCATCGACTAAGCCAGCCATTATTTATTGTTAATCCCATAAGGAATATACCCTTAGCGATTTGCAAGGAAACCTAAATCCAAAACATTCGAATATAGAACGAAGCAGAGGTCCTATAAAGTTTTATAATGCTTCATTTCTAAAACGAGGGATCAATCATTTATACCTTAAGACTTCCACTACAGGCGCATGGGGTTTCGAGCTTCTTAATCACGTCCTCATCCTGACAAATGCGACACTCCGCTGTCTGAATCAATGAATCATCCTCTCCATCCAAACCCTCATTCTTTTCTTCCCTCTCATCAGCATTGGAATTGGACGTCGAATTAGACAAGCCCACTGAATCGCCGTCCAAGTTCCCTGCGACCGGCAAGAGAGGAACAACCTCAATCGGGCTGAGCTCCGAATCAACGGGCACCGGCCGAATTAATCGATCCACATACAAAGCGAGATGATCGCTCATTCTCCGCAACCAGAAATCAAACACCTAAGTCATCAAAAACAAACCTCATTGGCTCACAGTGGCAAATAATTAAACACTACAGGAATGAAAAACAAAAGAGGCGTACTAGTAGTAATCGGAGCAAATGACGAGAAAGCTAGAATCCCCAGCGATCGCGCTGAGAGGGCAGCGGACCGGAGGGGTTCCGGAGCAGTGCTGAAGAGCGGAGGAAGAATGAGGAGGGACTTAATCAAATGGAAGTGGGCTGGATCAAATTGGGACATAATCCAAGAACATACATGTGGTAATGCAATGAAATCGGGCTGGTTTGGTTCCGTCAAAAACGGGAATTGACCTTCGTCGCAAAGAACAACAAATCTTCTAAGGTATATAAATGTAACGAAAAATACAATCCGATAACGGGACGTGTAATATTGGCACTTAAGTAGCCGGGTCCGGGTTCTTCCTATCGTCCACGCCATCTGGCCCGCCATGCATTAAATATTCACATTAAATATTTATCATTTATCCGAGATTTTAGTCAAAATTATCTAAAATATTGGGGTGAGAGAGGCTCGAACTCTCGACCTCAGGATAACTCTTCAGCTATGAGACCTACGCGCTAGCCAACTGCGCCACCACCCCTTACTTTTTACAGACTAGACAAATTTAACTACATAATTTCATGTAATCCTAATATCGCAATAATAAGATTTTAGATAATATCTAAAAATGGGGTGAGAGAGGCTCGAACTCTCGACCTCAGGATAACTCTTAAGCTATGAGACCTACGCGCTAGCCAACTGCGCCACCACCCCCCGGTGTTTGGTTAATGTAAATTATATTACTAAATTTTATATAATAATAATTTATATTAAAATATTACTTTACGTATTATATTTAAAAATCTTTTTATCTTTTATATAAATTTTCTCACTCCACCCTTGATACTAATTTTGGTTGAATAAAGTAACTTATTATTATTATTATTATTATTTATAAATATAAATAGGTGTGAACGGTGAACTTCGAACTTGGAGAGAGTCAATGCAAGAGTCAGATCCATCCGCCAAATGGCAATCAAAATAATTAAATTCACACACGAAAAACACAGCAAATCAAATTAAAAAAATAAAAATTGGGCGACGTTATTAAATGATAATATGAACGTTCCTATTTAGAAGAGATCCCAAAAAGATGGCCTGTCATTTCCTGTATCCACAGATAATATTCCAAAACGATGCCTTCCTTGTACGTCTCTATATAACACCCTTTCCATTATTCCAAAGCTTATCAAACCAATAGGCATCAGCCATGAGTTCCTGCACTCGCTTTGTTCTCATCACCCTTGTCATCTTCCAATGCCTGTCGCTTCTCTGCCTCGCCCAAGACTTTGATTTCTTCTACTTTGTTCAAAGCGTGAGTTTTTAAGTGTCATTAGAGACTAATCCCAGTTGGAAAGATTCAATTTTTAGTGTTTGGTTTGGTTTTGCAGTGGCCTGGTTCTTACTGTGATACAGGAAGAAGCTGCTGCTATCCCCGCGCTGGAAAACCGTCTGCTGACTTCAAAATCCATGGCCTTTGGCCTAATTACAATGATGCCACTTACCCCTCTAATTGCGACTCATCCAACCCCTTCGATCTAACTCAGGTACTTATGTAAGATCGCGCGTCGTTTTGGAGAGCAATACAATCATTCTTTATAATGTTTGAGACCCATTTTAAAACCTTAAGGAAAAGTAGGCTGTTACAAATACTATCATAGTCTGAAGTGTACGGATGGACGCTGGCTCTTAAAAGGGTGGATTCTGAGATCGAAACGAAACATTATTTATAAGAATGGAAACCTTTCCCTACTAGACGAGTTTTAAAACTTTTAGAAAAAATTCAAATAAGCATTTTGTGAAACATTTCCTTATTCTAGAGAATGCTTGCTCCCAAAAGAGTGGATTGTGAGATCCCACGACATTGGAAGAGTGTAATGAAGCGGTGTGAAATTCTTCTTAACAAAAGCATTTTAAAATCTTGAGGGAAAGTCTAAATAAGATAATATCGGGTAGCTGTGTGCTTAAGCGGTTACAAATGGTATTAAAGTCAGGGTCGTGTGTTAACAAGAATGTTAGGCCCCAAGGAGATGGATTGGAGATCCCACGTCACGTGGAGAGAGAAACCAAATATTACTTAATGAAAACCGCTCTTTGGTAAAAACAAATTTTGATATCTAAAGAGTACCATATCTGCTAGCGATTTAACTTAAACTAGATTGATGTTGGATGTTTGAAATGTGACGTAGATTTCAGATTTGGTGAGCAGCATGCAAAGGAACTGGCCATCACTAGCGTGTCCTGGCAGCGACAGCACGAAATTCTGGGCGCATGAGTGGAACAAACATGGGACATGCGCGGAGTCGGTGCTCAACCAACATGGATATTTTGAGACGAGCCTGAACCTTAAAAGCCAAGCCAACATCCTGCAGGCTCTGGAAACAGCAGGAATAAACCCAGATGGAAGTTATTACAGTTTGGATAAGATTAAGAGTGCCATAGAAGGAGGAGTTGGGTACAGCCCTGGAATCACCTGCAACGTGGATGATTCCGGCAACCGTCAACTGTACGAGGTTTACCTGTGCGTGGATTCTTCCGCCTCTGGTTTCATAAATTGCCCAATTTTCCCGAGTGGACAATGTGGCTCTAGCGTTGAGTTTCCCAAATTTTAGGAATTTGATGGTCTTATGTTTGTGTTACTTCCTGCATTTCGTTCATCCATTTTGTTCAATATGAACATTTATATAAGATATTTATCAATAATAAAAGTAAAATATGATGACTATGTTAAACCGTATTAAAAAGTCAAATATTCTCAATTATACAGTATATTTGTCTGTGATAAAGAGTCAAATATGATATATAAATTATAATTTAAAGTTAAATATCTTTTAACACCCAACGAGTTAGAGCTTCGATTTGAATGAACTTCAAGCTTGGATTTGAAAATGTTAAATAGAGGCCAACAAACACTTTTTTGTGAAGATGTCAACAACGTGGAGATGGAAGACACATCCTGTGTACGAAATTTATCAGGGACAATAAGTTCCCGAACGAAATTATAATCTAATTTAACATGTTTGGCTTGTGAGAAACTGGATTAAAACTAAAAAAAAATAACACTTTTGTTATCATATAAGAGTAAGAGTTGTTGTGGGATAGGAACCTTAACATAATGAAGAATACGTTTGACAGAAACAATACGATATGCAACAATTGATTGACAGAATTGACAGTATTGGCAATATTTGGGCCTGTAATGGTCAAGTATGCAGGGTGCTAACAAGAGATCGATAGAAAATATGATTAGAGAAAAGAGAACCATCAGCAATTCGGTGTTGAGAAACAACCATGGGGTGTGGATTGATTTGCTATCGAACAAATGAGCACGAGTAAGAATAACTTGAACATGTTTTTACTGACTAATAAAGAGATTATCCGGAGTAAGTGAAGCTCCAAGACAAAATAAAAGTAAATAAAGAATATACTAAGAAAACTACATTAACGACTAATGCCAATAACGAAACCCTAAGATCTGCGTCTCCAAAGGAAAGTCAAGAGTGAAGACAGACCGATTACATTTAAAATAGTAGAGCCGAGGAAATTACAGCTACGATGATTGACCCAGAGACGACGATTCTATTCACAGCACCACCATTGTTAGGATTGGAGGCCGGCGACGAAGCCAAAGTAGGAAGAGTTGAGATTGAGGGATTGCAACTATAGTTTGCGCTGGTGACTTCGAAGGAATAGTAGGCGGAGTCGATGGAGAAGTAGCCAGCTAGAAACCAACTTAGCTAGATGTAATTAAAGAAATTAATGTAATTTACCTTTTAAAAATACTTTTATACCCTTGTATTTAAATTTAGAGGTTTCAAAAAAACAAAAAAAAAAAATCAATTTGGATCATTAAATTATTTATATTTTTTTAAAGGTGAAAGTGAAAGAGAAAAAGGAAAAATTAATGGAAAATTATAATTGTGGTAAAAAGTAAATTATTTTATTTTATTTATTTGAGGTTTTTCTTAATGAAAGGTAATTCTGTAATTAGGTTAAAATGATAGATATTTATTTATTTAAAAAAGATAAAATAAAATAAAAACGAGGATCGTTCCTCTAGAACAGTCCTTCCGGGAAAAAGCCGCACCAAACAATAGAATTTCAGATAGAGGATTTTGCTTCTTTCCTAAAGATGAGGTTTTCTCTATCCATTTCTGGAAAGTGGGCGCTTGCCGATGTCACTTTCTTCTTGCAACAGCAATCCTTTATTCATTTTCAAGGTAAATTTGTTCTCTGTCTTTCTGACCTTGCTTGACGGCGAATCGGATACTGGAAGCACGATTCAGTGCAGTGTCCAGCTTCATCCTGTTCTTGCTCTTTGATTTCTGGGTTGAATTTCAACTAATTTCATTTCTCCGGCGGGAATTTTATTCAAGTTGTTTTGAAGTTGAGATAATTTACATTCCTAGAATTGAGTATTCAAATGGCAATCTCGTGTATTCCAACATGCCAATTTGCTCTCACAAAACCCAAGAATGAGTTCATAAATCAACCCCATCCACTTTCTCTTTTCTCCAAATGTGCATCTCTGAGGGAGCTCAAGCAAATTCAAGCTTATACCATCAAAACAAATCTTCACAATGACATCTCTGTTCTCACAAAGCTCATTAATTTCTGCACGCGTTACCCCACCACTTCGTCCATGGACCATGCCCACCACCTGTTCGATAAAATGCTTGACAAGGATATTGTACTGTTTAACATAATGGCTCGTGGTTATGCTCGCTCTAATTCTCCATATCTCGTATTCTCTCTGTTTGCTCAAGTCCTGTGCTCTGGATTGCTTCCTGATGACTACACATTCTCGTCCCTTCTCAAGGCGTGTGCTGGTTCCAAGGCCTTGGAAGAAGGCAGGCAGTTGCATTGCTTTGCTATTAAACTGGGATTTGGTCACAATATTTACATATGCCCAACCCTTATAAATATGTATGCGGCGTGCAATGACATGAATGCAGCACGGGGAGTTTTTGATGGAATGGAGGAGCCATGTATTGTTAGCTATAATGCCATTATTACAGGCTATGCTCGAAGTAGTCAACCCAATGAGGCCTTGTCATTGTTTAGAGAATTGCAAGCTAGCAATCTCGAGCCTACTGATGTTACAATGCTTAGTATAATTATGTCATGTGCTCTGTTGGGAGCACTAGATCTTGGAAGGTGG